AGAGAGAGAGAGAGAGAGAGAGAGAGAGAGAGAGAGAGAGAGAGAGAGACGAGAGAGAGACGAGAGAAAGATCCAACGTGTCGATAAACGAAATAAAATCTGCCTCGTTGCATCAACGATTTCGCTCACAGTGAGAAAAAAATGCGGGTAATTACAGAAAAAGTAGTTGGAAATAACGTGCGTAAAATCAACGTGTCGTTTCGTTTCGAACGACTTACACCGCTACTACCACCACTGTCACGTCATTGACGTAAAAAATTACGTTCAATCGTCACTGCACGAGATCCGTCCGTAACAACGTACGCGTACGTAGAAAGAAAAGCGTTCTTGAACGAACGTATTCGTACCTCGTAGCCAGAGTACCAGTACCGGTACTACCTCGGATCGAAATGTTCCTTTTCGATCCCAGGTTTTTACGTACAGTCTCGTACTAGTTTAGGGAGGGCGATGGTGAATCAAAAAGAGCTCGCTTGTTTCGCTTACCCGTCTGAAGGATCAATTCGATGAGATTCTGCTCGTTTCGGCCCCTTTCTCGTCTCTACCGTGCACACACGTTTCGAACAAAACGCGTTGCCACTCGTATCGTTCGTTCGCCGGCATTGAAACTCGTACGTTCACGACGAATCCCAAACTTCGAAACGTTACCTGCTACCTGCCAATGCCAGTCTGCCATGTTCGAACTGGTCGAACGACGAACGAGAAATTTTCAACGATCTCCTCGTTCGCGAATGGACGTCGACGTATGGACGTAGGCGACTTAGGTACGTTGACGCTCGTACGAGGGCAGCACCTAACCTCTGGCCACTACTTTTCGCGTTGTAAACTCTCGTTAAGATCTCGCAAGACGCGACAGAACCTGCCAACCGTCGACAGACACGACGAGCTCCGATCTCGACTCGATCTTTTTTAAGACGAGGGTCGATCTAAACAGAGTTCGGGTCAAACTAAACTTTTCCTTCTAATTCCACGTACACACATACGAATATATATCTCGAGCGTATCGTCATACAGGTGAGACGTTATTCTTCGTATTATTCTTCGCAATCCGTGATTAGTCCGTAAATATCCGACTGTTTGTATCAACATTTGCGATCCTGTTCCAAAGTGGACGTAAAACGACAATAATCAACTTTCAACGAACATTGCCGAATTTCGTTTCGTCGTAGAGAAGTATCAACAAGCGTGGTCGAAGCTACGAGATTAGAAAATCATGGCAAATCCAGCTTTACGAAGTCTCGTCAAACTCGGTGGTACGTCATCGCGCTTGAAGATTCACGTCGAACAAATTCGACACGGACATCATCTTCGAGGGAAACCACCCCACGTTGCTCTCACTCTGCAACAGAGACTCGAACGTGAGAAAGATATATTTGCTCTTGGTCGCATTCTCGATTTTCGTTTAACCGAAGAAACGTTCTCTCTCGTCTCTACTTTTTCAGTACTCAGAAAGCAAGAGCCGAATCCGACCAAAGTAAATATAGGTTTTTCAGTCCCGAGGCCCACGTCGGAGGAAAAAGAAGCTTGGATGGCCGAACGAAAAATCAGACGAACCGGCGCGAGTTTCGAGAAAGAGGTTAGGAGCGGAGAACGTAAGTCACGAACGTCACGGCACTAATACCAAACGAAATACCAAATCAATCGTACGCGCAATATTTGTTTTTCGATGAGATCGACAACGGAGATACGTTCGTACATACATCTCTGGTACGATACTACTACGTATCATCTTACAGTGTCTCTAAATTTGGAAGAAGCAAGAAAGATTTGGCTGGAAACGACCGGACCGTACAACGTTCGAAAAATTGCCGATCACTATGGCATTTACCAAGATTTATTTGGAAACGCCTTCTTCTTTCCCGCGATACATCTCGACGTTAATTACAGCATGGACGACGATACTTTGGTCAAAGTTTGCACGGGAAATGTGATAAAACCGGCGGAGGCACGGGAATCGCCAAACGTCGCGTACAAAGCTCAGGACGATACTTTATGGACGTTGGTGATGTGCACGCCAGATGGCAATCTGGTGAATTCCAACAACGAATATTGTCACTGGTTTTTGTGAGTGGGATCAAAATCCGTTTGTCACACGTTCTCACTACTCCACGCGAATTAATCGCTTTTCTTCTCGCTCAGAGGGAACATTCCAGGGAACAAGGTAGAACAGGGTGAACGAATAACGGACTATTCGAGACCGATTCCAGTTAGAGGAGCGGGATATTACCGTTACGTATTTATCCTTTACAAGCAAAATCGGCGTTTGGATTATACCGAGTACGAGAGAATTTCACCTTGGTAAGTAAGTAAGTAAGTAAGTAAGTAAGTACAACGCGCGATTCCGCCGTATCATCGCGTCACACGTTTCGTTTTTTTTTTTAAATCGCACACTCTCGCGTTTAAGCCTACGATTGAAAGAACGTGATTGGAATACGTTGGAGTTTTATCGGAAATATCAAGATCATCTAACGCCAGCTGGATTGGCGTTCTTTCAAAGCGATTGGGATCCGACAGTGAAAGAATTTTATCACTCCGTACTAGGTGCGTGTATGGTTTCGAATTCACTCACTCTCTCATCATTTATCATTATCAACTTGTTCGCTCATTTACTTTACTTTCAGACGCGAAAGAGCCGATATTTCGGTACGACTTTCCAAAAGCGTACGTCAAACCGCAGACGTGGTTTCCATTGAGACAGTCGTTCAATCTTTATTTGGACAAGTACAAAGATCCCAAAGACACGGCGAAAGAATTTTTGCTAAGGAAATTGAAGACCGTTCATCCTTTCAAAGAGCCAAAGCCGCCTCTCAAATATCCCAATGCGCGCGTTCTCGATTTGGGAGCACCTTCTTGGTTGAGAGTACAAAGGAAGAAGGAGCGTTTGGGATGGGGCCGAGTTCACGATTTGAAATGAAATATTTTACGAAAAAGTTTCACGACAGTTTTAGAGTCGGTTGTCCGGACTGAACGAACAAGAGGGGAAAAAAACACTGTGTAAAAAGAAGAAAAAAAAAAATTAACTTGGCGCTTTATTAGTTTCTTGTTTCTTCAGTCGCGACAAGACCGCGGACGATGGAACGGAAAAGGGAGAATGGCATGGTCACTCCAGTCTCGAACGAGCTTCCACAGCTCGTTTACTCTTCAACTTGATCTCTGCCCGCGTTGGTACCGAAGAATCGATCGCTTCGTGCTCAACGATCAGACCTGATAGAACACGTCACGCCGTGAGAATATGTCGTACGTACGTGGCAACGAACGGGAACGAAATCGTTCGTGTATCGTATCGGATAATCGTTACGCGTCACGACCTGTCGGTTCCGCTTCCGCTTCGTCTTCGAACTTGATCTTCGAGCGGTAATTGGATACGTAAGTTTGGTACAGATCTTTCGCTTTCTCTTCTCTGTCCTTGTCAAATTCGAAATTACTCATTCCAAACAGCGCCCCTACCTTTCGACCGACCGTCGATAACAACGCTAAACCTGGGGAATCGGAATACCGAGAGAGAGAGAGAGAGGGGGGGGGGAGGGGAGGGGAGGGAGGGAGGGAAAGGAAGGTAAATAAAAAAGAGGAATAACGAAGGCGACGCAAAATTATTCTCCGCCGTTTGGATTTGAACTGTACCTTCCGCCTCCATCTTTTCTATCGTCGTTGGCACGTCGGATTCTTCCGTTGGCCTCTTCGCTGCTACTCTGTCGCCTCTTTTGACGCAAACCAACATCGCTACCATATTCTGCAACGCCGCTCTCACGTCCATCAGTAATTCACCTCGTTCTTTCTTCAAGTTTTTGCGCTCGAGCTCGCGTTTCTTTTGCATCGCGATCCGCTCCAGCAAGATACTTTTATCCGCGTTGTATCTGAAAGAAAGTTCAATCGTGTCTCGTGATCGCACGGCAGAAGAAAACGGTCGCGTCACTCACTCTTCAACGCTAGCCACGAGCGAATGCTCGAAATTAGACAGCGCGGACAGTGCCTCGTCTTTCTTGCTCAGCAACGAATCGCGCTCTCTCACGTTGCGATCGAATTGTTCCAGCAATCGCGTTCGCTGCTTCGTTCGTTCCTCCAACCTGACGAGACAATTTGCGAATGACGAGCGTCTCGCCAAGGAAAATGCAACAACACCGCGATTCGCAACCGCGTTTCTCGAATTTTTGCGAATTTGAAATTCAGCGTCGATCGGTTAATTCAATTTTCGAGTCGATTTTTCAATTCGTCGTCGATCTTTCAAATCTAAATCTTCGATGCGTTCGATGCGAGAATTCAGTCAACGAACGATACGCATATGCATATACCTTGAGAGCAACTCTCGATAGGAATGTACGAGCAACGAATCCTTCACTCTGCCGAATATCTCTTCCAAAGATGTTATTTGCTTCTCCAACGCTTCGTTCGACGCGACTCCAGCACGAATAATTCCCCTGGTCAATATCGGTTCGCTCTGTCGCGCGTGCGAACGAGTTTAGAGTCGTCGGTCGTCTGACCTCGGCTTCTTCTGTTTGCTGTTCGTCGGCTGGTCGGCTCGACGATATTCCAAACGAACGAAATCGTTCGTCGCGAACAATGATTTATTTATTTATTTATTTATTTGTTTATTCGGCTATCGCGACTTACCTCGGTGCGAACGAGCGATCGCGCAAACGACCACAAGTCGTCGACCTGTTCGCGCACAAACGCCAGCGTGCGTTCCCTCTCCTTCATGTTGGTCCAAACGTTTTGCGCTATACGTTTGTACTTGGATTCAACGTCGTTGGTTTCCTCGGTAGCCAGTTGGCCCATTATCGTCGTTCGAAGTATCACCTTGCACTGACTCGTACGATTTTGCTTCAACGTGTCCAACAAGCTTTCCCGATGCACCGCGTCCTGCGATCCAACGCGACATTTCCATTTCGGCCAACGACAAACCAAACGAAACGAAACGAAACGAAACGATCGCTCGGTGATTCGTCGATCGGTACGCAAGTACGTAGGTAGGTAGTTGGGCCCACCTTTCTCAAGATCTCGACCATGCAAGTGTACGTTACGTTAATCGCTTTTGCCGCATTTTGCCTCGCTATGGACTTTTGGTATCGCGACACCAATCTTTGTTGCTCTCGATCCAGAGTCCACGGTGCGTCTTTCTCTCGCTCGTAGACGTTGCACAATTCTGCGTGTTCTACCTTTGTTGCGGAATAGAACGCGTATACGTCATACCGTAGTACGTACCGTACGTACCGTACGTACCGTACGTACCGTACGTACCGTACGTACCGCGTTGGAAAACACGCATCGCAGACACGCGCTGGATAAAGAAACGTACTTGTAGCTCGAAACATCGTTTCATCTTTCGTTTCTTCTCGCAACGAAGCTGGTCCAAGCGACAGCGTTTCCGGTGATTCTCCTCGTAAATGGAGTCGCAAACGTTCTACGCCACGAGAGAAACCGTGAGAAACCGTCGCAAACCGAACGGAAGAAAGTAAAGCACAGAGAGAGAGAGAGAGAGAGTAAAAGTAAGGGGAAAGAAACTTACTTCCGTCTCTCGGCCGTGGTACTTTAATCTTAAATTTTTGCGACTGCGTAGCAAACTGTACGCACGACCTTTCGGAGTAGCTCTCGTTATTTCGTTGACGATTTGCCGATAATCGTTCACGTCTCGTTCGTACGCGTTTAACTGCCAGGTTATCTTTCTCCTCAATTTCGCAGCGTCCTGCCATCTTATTTTCTTTTCGCGTGCTAAATTTTACGACAGCAAAATTTTGGCGATCTCGCGGTCTCACGCTACGCGAAAGTACAAACGCAATTTCTCTCGTCGAGAAAGAAGATGGACCATCGACGAGACGACGGTCCCTTACCGTACAACTTGAGAATCCCACGATATTGTTCCAATTTGTCTTTGATCGTCCATCTCGCATCCTCGACTCTATACGGATACGTCGATGGGATTCGTTTCCGAGTAAGCAACATTTCGTTCTCGGGTAAACGACGTCGGCCGAATGCACGGAAGTACCAGTACCGGACCAGACGTCGATTCACCGTTCATTTAATTAAATTCACCGCGATCGCGACAGTCGTTGACAGTCGTTGAGAAAGAAACAAAGAAACAAAGAAACAATCGACCAAAGTTGGCCAATTGCAACGCACCAGAGACAAAGACAGACAACTCGCAATCTCAGAGAATAACGTAATTTTATTTTATTTCACGTACAAAGACGCATCGCGTACAAAGGGAGAAATGTGAAATTCTACGTACTCGTAACGGTTAGAATTAGGCATTGTACGATCTACTCGTCGCATTCACTCGTCGCACCTGTATCGCGTCAA